AAGGTTCTGCATGGTCTCTTTAGCTTACATCATTCCTTGCTAGATTCCAGGGACTAGTGTGCTGCCCTCAACATAAGGGACACCTATTACCACTTATTTTTTCTGGCCACAAAAGGTGCCTAAGATTGAAATGAATACAATTTACCATCAGTTCCCAGTTCTTCCATTTGGCTTGTCCCTCCTGCAGCAAGTTTTCCAATGTTACCAAATGCATGGCAGTGGTAGCAGCCTTTCTCGGGGGGGAAAAAAGGGATCAGTGTATTTCCATACCTCAATGACTGGCTAGTCAAGGGCCAATCTAGAGCTGAAGTGGAAGCCAACATCCATCTTTATTGACTATCAGCGCATTGAGTTTTCCATTGAATGGGCAGAAGTCCAGCCTTATCCTGGTCCAGAGGATGGAGTTTAGTGTTGTACTTGATTACAACTTCTGGATGACTGGTTTCACTCAGATTCATAATAATGTGTCAATTCCTGTTCAGGCAAGTCTATCAAGTCCCATCCATCCATGATTGCTGGTGCCCTCTGAGCACCTTCCTGTGCTGTTCAGACCTGGGTTTTTCATGTGGCACAAGACTTGATGCGTCTCCTGGCATCCTTCTCACCTCTGAGGCAGGATGCCACATCCATGCTGCAGGCACCTTCTCAACTGCCAGAGCAATCCAAAGGAAAGCTGGTGAGGATGAGACAATGGTCATTTTCTCCCCGATGTTCCAGGGACCGTAGTAGGTCTGCTGCCTCTGTGAGATCTGCTTCAAACGAGCAGCCTCTCCATGGTCATAGTATTCCGAGACCAGGACTCACATGTCATGATACAGTGGAAACAAGAGATCTTCATTCTGGCACCAGAGGAAGTCCCAGTCTACCCAGTGGTGATGGCAGAACCCTGCATAGTGACCCTTTTGGACCCTCTAGGCTTTCCACCAGGGCCAAGGCAGAATCCAAGGGTCATGCTTCAGGAGCATCCATGGCTTTGGCGACCTTCATCCCTCCATGCACTGTGGAGCATTGGTTGCAAATGATAGCCCCGGCACCAAAAGTGGCACCAGCCCAGACCCTGTCAGCACCAGAGCAGGTTGTGGCCACATCTTTGCTCCCCAACACTGGCATTAACAATGGCATCTGCCCCAGCGCGGGCACTGATGTCAGATCTACCACCAGCAAAGACACTGATGGTGAACTCTTGACAACCAGGTGCATAGTCGCCATCTGTGTTGGCCACCAATCAGATCATCTTCTGTCAGCATCGGTAATCCATACACTAGCCATGCTGTCTGGATCAGGGGATCCCATGGGTGGATATGGGAGAAAAGTCTTCTTCCTTTATAGCTTCCTCCTCTCATTTGCCAGAAGAGGCCTTATTAAAGTCGAGTGGCCCCTTGCCCTAGAGAACTCCCAAGTACTGCAACAGCTTTTACATCAGGTTGCCCAGAAGTTGGGTATCCAGGTGGAGGAAGTGGATGACAAAGCCAACCCAATGGATAACATACTAGCCCTCTTAGGACTGTTCATGATTTCATTGCCACTTATCAAAACCGCAAAGACATCAAAAAAACCTGTGCCAAACCGGCTTTTTTGCAACTCACAGCTAAACACAATCCTTTGTCTCTTCCAAGGAGTATGAATATCTATATTCTCATCCACAGCTGGACTCTTTGGTCCTAGTTCCCTTGGGGGCCTACATGGCTCAGCCTATGTTCCTTGGTGGTGCCAGAGCAGTCCAATCTCTGGGGCCCTGCAGTGGCCCTGGTGTCCTGACCCAGCCTTTCTCCTAGGGCAGGGTAGCCATGCCTTCCTCCTTGGGAGCTTGGGCAGAGTGTCTGGCTTGCTCTGCTGCTGGGCTCCATCTGAGTTCTCAGCTCCTGTTTTCATACGTCTGCCCCTCCTTTCTGCTTTCTGTGGGTGGAGCTGGGTTGCTCTGGCACTACCCACCAAAGCGTCCTAGGGAGTGTTTCCCCTTCCAGGTCAGCAGAAGGCCAAGCTGACTCGCTACAGTCTTCAACAATACCCACCACCACAGCAAGAAACTGCTTCAAGCTTTTCAACCACATGTTTGCATGTACATACTTGATGTGACATGCCAGGCTGAAACTTAGGCCACTGCAATCATGGCTGTCATCAGTCTATCACTCAGCCAGGGATGGCTTGGACAAGATGGTAACCCTTCTCGAGTGGTTAGACCTCAGCAGGTCATTTCAGTGCCATGATCCCTTCAGCAGTCTTTGCTCAGACATTGTGAACTCAATGTTGCACCACTGGCGCTTCCCCCCCAATGGACCATATTCGTCATGAAATACAGTAGAAAGTGCCAGCATTTCTTTTCCTTCCAGAACCATAGCCTGGGATCCGCCAGGGGTGTGTTCATCCTCTCATGGAGAAGTCGTCTACTATACGCTTTCCTGCCCATACCACTTGTACACAAAGTCCCTCCTAAAGATCAGTAGGGAACGGGCACAGGTCATATTGGTTGTGCAGCTTGGATTTGTCCGGAAGAGATGTGTACTAATGCTGACATGTCCATAGAGATCCTGATCATCCTACTACTCTTCCCAGACCTTCTGATGCAGGCCTAAGGGTGCCTTTGACGTCGAGATCTGGAGTCGCTGCACCTTACAGTGTGGAAGCTCCATGGCTGAATCTAGCTGAACTTTCATGCCCGAACCAGGTCAGACAAGTCTTCTTTGAGAGCAGGAAACCCTTCATGGGAGCCATGTGCCTTGCGTAGTGGAAAAGATTCTCCATCTAGTCTGTGTAGCATGGTTCATCTCCAGCATTAGCTCTTATACTTTTTATCTTGGGCTATCTTTTCAACCTTTAAACTGCAGGGTCTGTCGATGTCCTCCATAAGGGTCCATCTTACGGCCTTATCTGCTTTCCAACCAGGTACACAACTTTGCTCAGTGCTTACCAACCCCTGGTTAGCTCATTTCTAAAGGGCTTGGGCATTCTCCACCCTCAGGCTCGCCAACCAGTCACCATACCCTTCTGGGACCTTAACTTGGTTCTCTCCAAACAGATGGGTCCACCATACAAACCACTGGCCACTTGCTCCCTGCTTTACCTCTCCTACAAGGTGGTTTTCCTGTTGTTGTTAATTCTGTAAGGAGGCTATGGTAAACTTAGGGCCCTCATGTTCGAGCCCCATCATACAGTCTACTATAAGGAGAGGTGCAACTCTATCCACATCGAGCCTTTCTTCTCAAGGTGGTTTCTCATTTTCACATGAGCCAGGATATCTTCCTTCCAGTGTTTTACCCCAAACCACACACTAGCTTTAGAAAACCATCTCCACTCCCTCAACGTGCATAGAGTGCTGACCCTTTATATTGATAGGTCAAAGCCATTCAGAAATTTGTCCCAAATATTCATGGTGGTGGATGACAGAAGAAAAGGCCACCCTCTATCATCTCCATGCATCTAATCATGAGTAGTGTTCTGTATCTACAAATGCCACCACCACTCACTGCATACTGTACCAGAGCTCAGGCTTCTTCTGCAGTGCTCCTCGCTTAGATTCCTATCAGGAGATCTGTAGAACTGCAAGCTGGTCTTCAATGCACACTATGCAATTACGCATTAGGCTAGAGATGACGCAGCATTTGGGCAGGTCAATCAGAGCAGAATTCCATCCCCAGCTCCTGAACCATAGGCTAGTGAGTCACCTGATTGGAATGCACTTGAAGAAGCACTCGAAGGAAAACAGTTACTCACCTTCCATAACCGTTGTCTTCAAGATATGTTCATGTATCTTTCAATTCCCACCCTCCTTCCCCTCTGTCAGAATAGCCAGCAAGAAGGAACTGAGGAAGGAGGGAGTCGGCAGAGCCCTATATTGGGTGCATTGATGGTGCCTCTCCAGGGCTATCCTGCAGCTAGCTCTTACAGGAAAACCTTTGTTACTGTGCATGTGCGCGCACACACCCCTACCTGACTGGAATGGACATAACACATCCCAAAGAACCCATTTTTTCTATGCAAACAGGCATGGATGTACACACTCTTTTCCCTGTATCAGGAAGCAGCCTCCTTGTGGCAGTTCTGCATCACTCATAACATCAATCAGAATCAATTAGCAGACCTCAGCACGTCTTTCTCCTCTCACCATGAGTGGTTTCTCTGTCCAGACATCTTGAAGGACATCTGCCAATGGTTCTTACAGATCTGTTTGCCATAAGTTCTGCTCCCTGCAAGATCACAGTTCAGGGTCCCTAACAGACATGTTCTTGTTGTCAGGGAAGGAGAAGGAGACTTCAGGTAAACCCTAGTTAAATATCTGTCTCCTTCCCCTTCCCCTCCAATCCCTCCTTCACCCTCCTAAATAGATAGATAAATCAGTTTGTCACAGAAGTAAACAGAACATTTGTAATGCCTGTGCGCACTGGGACCTTCTGTATATGTTCATATGACTACTTGTAGCTGAGCTTTTAAAAAAATAATACATTTTAAGATAATTTCCTTTTGCCCTTTTAAAAAAAGTTACTGAATTTGTGCACGTTACAAAATACATAAATTTAGAGTACAGTAAGTAATACTCAGTAATAAAGAAGAAGACAGGACTGTTGGGTAGGACAGTGACTTATAAATGTTTGTCAGCAAATGAGTGGTCATTTTTAGTGCAGTGCTCTATGACCATGACATCAGTGTTGAGAGCCAATATATTCTTAATTGACATAATTATTTTTGATGTTCAAGTGTTCACATTTTAAAGGACTCCTAGACTTGACTAGATTTGATGAATCCAGGGATCTGTTCCACAGTTGCTAATGCCACATTATCAGTGTAGATATTTTGTTTGTGCTGCATTTCTAGTCTCTTTGTTACCTGAAAGATATCATTGGAGTTGTTACCTACTATAGTGTAAATGAAGACTTTTTTGGTACATTTTTTCATGTATATTTCATAATTTTCCATCAGTATTTAAATTCTTTCTTTCTCTTGATTTTGAATTGTTTCATTGTTAATATTTTGTCTCTAAAATACTGTTCACATTTTCCCCTCAGACTCTCTTTCAGTCTCCAGTAACGATGCCAGTCCTCCTGCCTCAGTAACATCACTTCAGCCCCATATGATTGGTGCACAGAGCTCTCCAGGCCCCAAACGCCCTGGCAACACCCTAAGAAAATGGCTTACCAGTCCAGTGAGGCGCCTTAGCAGTGGGAAGGCAGATGGGCATGTCAAGAAATTAGCACATAAGCATAAGAAGAGTAGAGAAGTCCGCAAAAGTGCTGATACTGGCTCTCAGAAGGATTCAGATGATAGTGCTGCTACTCCACAAGATGAAACGATTGAAGAGGTTAGTGTTCAGGCAACTTTCTTATGGTTTGTAAATGCTAGACGTGAGTCAAGTGCTCAGTTTTGGGTGGTGAGTGATCTAGCAAGATAGTACAATATAAGCTGTTGTACTATCTGTTTGTTTTACTTAACCAAATCAAATTTGTACAAAAATCAAGTCATCTCAGTAAGGTCTCTTGAAACGTTCCCTCTAATTTTTTTTTCCGTTCGTGTATGGAATAAATTGTGTTGTGTTCTGTAATTTATCAGGTGTTCTGAGGCACCGCTGTGAGGGTCAATTCATGGTGAATTGCTTAGAATCAGGGCTACTTACAGCCCAAGACTGGGGTCCTTCTCTATAAGGTACCAGACCAGTCACACAGAGCCCTTCAGCTGCCATTCTGGCCAACCAGAAGTTATACAAGCCATCCCCTCAGACACTCCAGCTTTACCTGTGCCACAGTAAGCACCACACTTTACACTGGGCCAGTCCTTTAGAATCTAAAATCTAAAGGTTTATTATTATAAGGAAGAAACGGTTGAGAATAGAATTGTTAAAGAAATCACATTACATACATCAATCACCATGTTCTTGATGCAGGCTTTTAGCAGAGGTATAATAAACTTCTAGCTTAAAAGTCTCTGGAGTGCATCCTTTGTTAGGATGGGTCAACCAATCCTCCTTGTCTCTCCATCCTTAGCAAAGGTGCTTCTGGAATGGAGGGCAGGAGTGAAGACCAAGATGGAGAAATCCCCAAGATACTTTTATAACTTTGCTCGTGTGGCGGGAAATCCATTGCTCTCCTGAGTGATGGTACCTCTCAAAATGGAGCTGATCACATGATCACTATGTCCTTTCTAGGCATGGATCCACCGGGTACCCAGATATGTCCTTAGGCAAGGGGGTCTTTGTGTGTTCCTCAGGTATCAGTTGGCAACCCTTAAGAGCCATTGTCCATACAGCACTCCCTGGGCCACTACACATCATAATAGGTGGGTGACACCTGCCGCTGTCTCCCAGACACACAACATGTAAAATATCAGTACAGAGCCCATCTTCATAGCTTTACACACACAAATCATACAAATATATGAGTAGCATTGATAGAATCAACGTAGCACAAGCTTTCATTAGACACCTCACATAGCCCACTTTGCACTGAATTTGGGGCAAACACATGACAGTGGGTGCAACAATGATTTGAATGTTTCTATTACAACACAATAATGTGACATGCTTGATGCAAGTGCAGGTATGTATTCTCAATAGAAATACATGCTGCAGGTTGTGGGTACTGTGGGCTCTCTGCTAACTAGTTGGGCAGCATTTGAAACCCTCTTGGGTGGCAGCCCAAAGCACTCTGCTTTCAGGGCGTCTCTTGTGGGTGTGTGTCAGTTTTACACAGCCATCAAGCCCATGTGTGCCTGGACTGTCATTTTCTGCTTAAGAAGAATCCCCGTACTGGAATACAAAGGTTTATGCAATTCAGTGTTAAGAGTATTAACAGAGTTGTGTGAGGAGAGCCCTCTAGTTGAAGAACAGAAAAAGGGAGGCAGGAAATCAGTTTTTAACCTCATTTCCTTCCTCATCCACCAATAGAAAAAACTGACTTTCAGACATATACTAATGTCATCTGAGTAATGTACTGATAATAGGCTATTTCATGCTTCCTTTTTCTCCCTTCCCACAGGACCAGGAGGATGGATAGGGAAGTGTTAACAACTCCTGTAAACCCAGCAATTCTTGCATTTCTGCCTTTAGAAATAATGCATCTCTCATTAGTGCAGTTGTGGGCAATAATTTTTGAAGGGGAGCCACTTTACAAATTTCAGAAGTGTCTATGGGCCGTCCTGGAAGGGGCAGGGCCTCGGGCAGACGGTCATATTTGAATGACCTTCACATGTTTTAGCCCCCTTCTTAAGTACTACTCCTTCAGAAACAGCTGTGCCACAGATTGTATTAAGAGCTGTTATAGAAAAGCCCAAAGGGGGGGAAGAAAAATGGTGTGTGTCACTAATGTAACATTTTCCAGAGAATACTTGATCATTTTAGTTTTGTAGAGCACACGTCACTTTTTTGAAAAGGCATAAGGCACTGAAAATCAATACTTAGTCCTGCCATGAGTGCAGGAGACTAAACTAAATGACTTTGAGGCCCCTTTCAGGCCTGTGATCCATGAAATAGTATCTAAGTCCCTGTTTTTCCTCCCACACACACTAAGCCTATTCAGTTAGGTTTTATGAGTTACAAAAGATTCCCACATTTAACTATAAAAAGATATTTTTATCAAAACCATTTGTAAAGAGATACGTTATTAGGCTACTTCTTGAAGGAAGCTGCTAAAATTTCCAATGATTAACTTTTTGAAACTCCATGAAACACAGGAGCACTTCAGAACACACATTATTTTTTTATTAGAATATTTATTTAATGAAATGAATGTGATATGCATGTGGTTTATTAATTCATTTAAAAAAACACTCACCAAATAAAACCATTAACCAGCCCAAACCAGATTTTTTTTCTGCTGTGTTCCTGGGCAAGATGGTGGTATTCTGTGTCCACAGATGGCTCAGTGTAGAAAGAGATCCTTCTCTCAAGGTAGTATTGGCAATTTTCTCAGATGTAGCCACACTTCCTCATTTCTGAATATGGGGAAGAGTGCTAGTATGGTATCATTGTCCTGAGGTAGAGAGAAGGCAGTGCAAGTCATTCCCTCTTACTATGAAGAGAATTGCATTATCCTGTAAGCTATTTTTGTCTCAGACCAAGGATTAAGGTCCTGTTCCTTGTGAATCTGAGAGGTGGTTTTTTTTTACCCATAAAACATTAAAAACTGTGGGGGGGGGGTCCGTGTTGACTGTTTAAAGGGTCAAGTGATGAAATATAGGATTTTGTGAAAACATCCCATATTTTAATACTATTTTGTACTTCTATAGCACCTTTCCCTTTGAGGACATGAGTACTCTATGGCTGCCACGTCTATAGTTACGTGGGTTACACCCACTTTACAGAGACTTAAACTGACCAGAATCAAAGTCATGGATGGAACCCAACAGTCAACTCCCAAGCCTCTGTCTGTAACCTTTTCTGTAGTAAAACTCAGGCTGAAGTTCTTCTAAGTCACTTGTACTAAGTGCACCAGCTTAGTTGCCTTACTTCTTGAACTACAGGTTGGACCTCGCTGGGCCGATAGTCATGTACCAAAAGAGGTCTGTCCCCTTGCGGCTGTGCTGCCACCGAGCTAGGGCTTAGATCCGCAGCCGCCTGGCTCTGCAGCTGAGGCAGAGGGACAGGGCCGGAGCTCCACAGCCCAGGCCAGAACTCCCTGGGTGCCATGCAGGCTGAAGTTCCCCGGTCGCGGGAGCCAGTATGTGGTCGGAACTCCGTGGCTGGGGACAGGGCCAGTTTGGAAACTGTGTCTGTCTTTGAGACATTTGTCTGTTAGCTACCTCTAGGCTTGCTAGAGATGAGTCTCCATAGGTAGCCTGGCCTGTGTGAGACATCTTCCACTGCCTCTACTCTATGCATCTTACTGAGGTCTTGATCTCCATTGCAGAGAGGACGGAATGAGGGGCTGAGCAGTGGCACTCTCTCCAAATCCTCATCTTCTGGCATGCAGAGCTGTGGAGAGGAAGAAGGTGAAGAAGGAGCAGATGCTGTACCACTTCCCCCTCCAATGGCAATTCAGCAACACAGTCTACTCCAACCAGACTCCCAGGATGACAAGGTAAGAAGGGAAATAGGGAAATGTCACATGCTAAGATAGACTGGTTATGTTTAAAGTGTCTTAAGGGAAGGATTTGCTGTGGAGAAAATGTGTGGAACATATATGATTATATGGGTGCAGTTAAAGATACAATTACAGGAACCTTACACAATTGTTTAAAAAGGATCTTATAGGAAAGGTTGAGATGAGCAGTTGATCTTTGTGTGCATAAAGGACTTTTAAAACTGAGTGACTTCACATCTTTGTAATACTTCATGCTTCTATACGCTCCTCTTCCACTAGTGAGGTGCTTTGGTGGGAACAGTTAACTTCTGAATTAAAATCTTTTTATCCTAATTCATTAAACAGTTCTGTTAGCCTCAAAGTTGGAGTTTTTGTTTAAACCATTTTCCATTTGCATAGAAAGACTTTTTTTTAGATGTAGACATAAAGTTAAATGTCCATTGTGAGCACACCATCGCTTTGCTTAAGCATTATTAAGCATTGGTCCACATCAATGACTTGCTTTGTTAAACTATTCAGTTTAACAAGATAGCCAAGTTTAAATTGACAGTGCAGCACTGTATCTGAAACCACTAACTGGTAAATTTTGGATAGAGATTGTAAATCTGCCAAGTGAAACTTGTTTTCATATTGTGTGTGGGTTGGTTTTTTTAATCTCACAACACTCAAAGGCTGTACAATGTTCCATTTCAATTTTCAACATGGAGCACATTTTTATGGGGCAGTTCAAAGCCTGAAAATAAAGGATTTTAAAATGGGAACGGTATTGATTTCTACAGCAAGGACCCCTCACCTCTAATATCACTTTGTCCTCCTTGTGCTGTTTAAAGTGCTTAAGCGTTGAAATCTTTGGTATGAGTTCATTATTGGTGAGTTTCATTGGTGATTATTCACCATTCTGAGTAAAACATATTTTTCTCAACAGTTTTTTTTTTTCCCCTCCTTCACTCTTCTGTTATTGTCTCCTGGGAATGTCAATCATGATTTAAGTAGACACTTTCAAGATTGCAGTGTGTTTTTTCCATGCACTGCATGCTCTGGTTTCCTGCTTTTTTTCTGACCTATTCCAATACAGGAAATGATAAATGAATATATTGGAAAATACTGCTGAAACCAAATAAAAAAAGAATTATATTCTTTATTCTTAATTTCTAACTAGGAGATTTTTTTTATCTGACCCTGTGTGTGCTGGTGTTGGTTAGAATGTTTGAAAACTCTTGCTAGCAAGTTGCTAACATGATTTTTTAATGAGTATATTCAGTGACTGTGATACAGATAACACATTAATATGACCCTTATTGCATAGGTGCATCTGCACTACAAATGCAGATATATCAGAAAATAGCCACATCGTAACTCCGTTCACTTTGCATTTTTAGTGTAAATTAGACCTTTAGAAGAGTGTTGGGTAATAGCACTAAAAGATTTGCCGTTTGACAGATGGCTCTGCTTGCAAAAAAAAGTGAAAGAAGATCTGCCTTGTGCATTTTCAATACTAGTGTAAGCAGGATATCCTTACATATTAATGAACTTGTTTTAATATGACTTCCTTGAAGGATGGAAACATGGCCCCGTAGTGTTTCTGTCCATCTCTAATACTCTGAACTTTCTATATCCAGATTTTAACTTTGTCTTGGATTCATGCTTAGGTATAGGCTTTGTAAACTTGTTTTAGTATCATTTGGGAATTGGGATTGTGACATCTGGCAGCATTTGCCTCAAAAGCCCCATTACATGTGAGCTTGCTCAGGTGTGGGCACCACGGTAGGAGGCCATGTTGATTTCTGTAATATCACTAAATAACAATCATTTTTTCATTAGCATCTGCTTGTACAGTACACATTCTTCTGTTTTGGAGAATCATTGCACAGTTCATTTATTGCATTGAATAGCAGTTTGTGAGTTTTTTGCATTTATTTTTGGATAAACAATATTGATGGTTTCGATACAGTTGTTATATTGTAAAACTAATTATTTTTGTTTTTTGTTTTTCTCTTTTTGTAAACTTTGTAGCATTATGTTGATTTGTGTTCTGTCTCTGCTTTGGCTCAATTCCCCTACCTCTCCATTTAAAGTTTTTTGTGATTCCCTCGCTCACCCTACCCAGTGTTCCTTTCTCAGTGAAGCAAACAAAAGTACACCTATATCTTTGTACTCCTTGTTTTCAATAATGGGGTTGAAAACCTCAGTCAAGAGCTTTCTGTTTTAAATCATTATAAATGTAATTTCCATGTTTGTCCAACATGTTCAAAACATTTGCAGAACAGTTAAACCTGTGTTGCATGATGTATATCTGTCCTTTCCTTAATATGAAGTAAGGTTCATATTGTACCCTGTTCCTCTTTCCAGTTATTTAATGATACATGTAATCTGCAAACCACCTCTGTGTTTGCCAATTACTGAAGCTGAATTTAATGGCCCTCTCCCAGACTCCTTTACCGTGAATACCTTTTATCCTCAGTTGTAGCTATAAACTGTCATCTTATAGCTTGTGAGGCCAGAGATCTTCTATACTCTGCACTTACGTTTGGGGAAAATGGATGACACAGAGAATGGTGAGCTTGATTAACCCCATTCAATCTGGTAATATACCCCAGCTCCTTTTAGAAGTGTAAATGTTCTTGATTTAATTTGTTAGTTTATTTTTAATATGCTTCAAGGTTTGTGTGTTGTGATTATTTTTGAAGTTGCTTCTTAATATTTACAGAGTTGAAAAAATACTTAAATTGTTCATTGCCAATCAGGTCAATCACTGCAATCTGTGTAGCCTGAGAGACTTTATAAGAGTCAACAGTTGAAAGTTTTCCAAGGATATTTCCCAGATCTATAATGTGCTAAACTAAATTATGAAGGTACATCCTACTATTTGAAATAGACTAGAACTGCATGGACAGCTTTCAATGTGTATCAAGGTGTATTTTTTTAATGAAGGTTCCAGTTGCATAAATTTTAAGAAAACATTTATTCTTACATTAAAAGCCTTTGACAAACTAAACATGGTATTTTCCTTTTTTGTCATTGCACAGACATCTTCTCGATTATTGGTACGCCCCACTAGCTCTGAGACACCCAGTGCAGCAGAGTTAGTCAGCGCAATTGAGGAGCTCGTCAAAAGTAAAATGGTGAGACCAACTGGAAGATAAACATGATTCAGAAACTAGGGCAACTTCTTGCTTCCCTACTTTGTGGAAAGGTCCAGCACACTTCCCTATGAATTCCAATGTTTGACATCCTCCATTTTCAGAAGTAGTCTCATAATTTTATATTCATTAATATGCGAGCATATGTGGAATATACATATATTCAGAGAAAAGATGATTAATCAACACAAAACATAGTTAAGTTTATTTGTGTTGCAGTAGCATCTAGTGGCACAATCCAAGATCAGTATTACGCTTGTAATATCCTATGCATAGTAGTCCCTGCCCCCAAAAATGTACAGTATAAATCTTGTCAAGGTACAAGTGAATGTAGCAAACCAAGCAGAGTATTAATTGTAAAGCTTCTATTTAAGATGTTTTTTTCATTATCTCACACTGGTTTGTTTGCTCACTCAAGTAAAATACATAAAAAATATGACAAGTTATTGCTATTTGAAGCAGTATATTTAAGACTTTTTAAAAGCATACTCAGAGGGCAATGTTAAAGTAATATAGAGCTTGGTTTTCAACAGAATACTTTTATCTCAGATTTTCAGGTGACACACAGACTATTCCCAAACTCTTCTTTAATTGCAACACCAGGACGTTACATTTCCTTTATATATATTCGTCTTGTTGAGGACAGTCCTGACTTCATTATAGTAATTTTTGATAGCCTGTGCATTCTTTCATAAGGTCTTCTGAGGTCTAGTTTTTTTTCTTCTTTATGCAGAAAAGGGTAGAGGCTTTATTTTAAAATGTAACACACTGGAAAACTAAATCAGGTTTTAATAAATAAAACTGTCTGTGATTGGCAACACTTGCTTAGCACTACCAATTGTTTTAATGATTGCTGTATGTAGCCCCAAGTAGTGATATCATTCTCGCACTAGATTATTCACCAACAAAGATCAGTTCGTCCTCGTTTTTGGGCCATCTGTCTGTGAGGTCAAATCCTATTGGGTTTTTAATAATTTCAGAGTCTTAAATAGTGCATCTAACTCAGCAGGGTGCGGCTCAGCTGCATCTTACTGTAACATTGAGGGAAAACATAATAAATAGGGGCAGCCAGAACTAACCATATGGGTTGGAGATAACCTGGCTTAATCAGTACTTTCTAGAACATTCCTTCACACAATCTCTGCAACACTTTTTCTTTTCCAAAACCATACAAAATACTGCCTGCTGTCTGGCTTCCAAATATAGTAGAACTACACCCTCTGTCAACACTGAGTTTTGCCCTTCTGTTTGAGAGCTAATTTTGAAGAGTATATATAATAGTCTTATGCAATTTTTTATGGGTTTTGAAATGTATAGAAGATCTTAAAGATTAATAGGAGGGGTTGTTTTATTTGGGGGGGGGGTTGGAGCCTGTAGGGGACGGAGGTCTTAATGTGTATTGTTAGCTCTCCTGCCTTCATTGAAGGGGAGTGATTTCTCCAAATTGTTGCCATTCACTAAAGCAATCAAAAACTTTTATGAACAGTCAGTCTCAAAATTCCTTCCCTCTCATCTCACATTCTGTCATCTTGGGTGGGGTCATAATTTCCATCAGTTGGTAAGTCATCAGTCGTCCAGGTTTCATAGTTTTTTATGCAATTAGAATGTATTAATTATGAGAATTCTGCTGGATCTAGAGCCATAGTCTGGAGTTAGACCCATTATGCTAGAAGCTGTACAAACCAAGAGTAAAATAGTCCCTGCCTTGAAAAGGTTAGCGTGTGTTTAAAAAAGAGAGCAAGAAATCAAATAAGCTGAAGAAAATTATCTTCCTAGACTGTTACTTATATCTTATCAAAAAGAAGAGGGAGAGTTCATGTCTTTAATGAACATAGGCTAGGTTTTATTTCTTTTTGGTTTGTGAGTCCCTTTAATATTTTCTGCCCTTGTCATTTAAATGCAGTGGTGAGGGTCTAAATTATTCTAGCTCTTCCATCTCTATTAAAAAATTAACATTTGCCAGTAGTTACTATGGATTTTTTTCCTGTGGGTAGAATAAGACAAATAAATGTGGTAACAGGTTGACAAATTTTGACTTTTTAATGGCAGTCCTAGAATGTCATAAGAACAGCCATACTGGGTTAGACCAAAGGTCCATCTAGCCCAGTATCCTGCCTTTCAACAGTGGCCAATGCTAGGTGCCCCGGAGGGAGGGAACACAACAGGTAATACTCACGTGATCCCTCTCCTGTTATCCATTTCCAGCCTCTGACAGACAGAAGCTAGGGACACCATTCCTACCCATCCTGGCTAATAGCCATTGATGGACCGGACCTCCATGAATGTAGTTCCGTTTTTGAACCCTGTTAAAGTCCTAGTCTTCAAAACATCATTTGTCAAGGAGTTCCACAGGTTGACTGTGTGCTGCATGAAGAAAAACTTCCTTTTGTTCGTTTTAAACCTGCAACCTATTAATTTCATTTGGTGACCCCTAGTTCTTATGTTATGGGAATAAGTCAAAAACTTTTCCTTAATTACTTTTTCTACACCAGTCATGATTTTATAGACCTCTATCACATTCCCCCTTTAGTCTCCTCTTTTCTAATATGAAAAGTCCCAGTCTTTATAATCTCACTACACATAGCATCTGTTCCAAATGCTTAATCGTTTTTCTTGCCCTTTCCTGAACCTATAGCAATGCCAATATATCTTTTTAGGGTGAGGCGACCACATCAGTACACAGTATTCATGATGTGGACGCACTATGATTTTATATAGAGGCAATAAGATATTCTCTGTCTTATTCTCTATGGGTATGTTTACATTACAAAGTTAATTCAAACTAACAGCCGTTAGTTCGAATTAACTTTAATAGGCGCTTCACATGCAAACCGCTAGTTCGAACTTAATTCGAACTAGTGGAGCGCTTAATTCGAACTAGGTAAACCTCATTCTACGAAGACTAACGCCTAGTTCGAATTAAGTAGTTCAAATTAAGGGCTGTGTAGCCACTTAATTCGGACTAGTGGGAGGCTAGCCCTTCCCAGCTTGCCCTGGTGGCCACTCTGGGCACAACCAGGGAAACTCTTCTGCCCCCCTCCCATCCCTGGAGCCCTTAAAGGGGCATGGTCTGGCTACGGTGCCCGTGTCCCAGCTTGCCCTGGTGGCCACTCTGGGCACAACCAGGGAAACTCTTCTGCCCCCCTCCCATCCCTGGAGCCCTTAAAGGGGCATGGTCTGGCTACGGTGCCCGTGCTCCCAGGAGCCTTCCTGGGGCCACAAGAGGCGGGCGCCTGCCTGGTCTAGTGAGGAGATCGTGGACCTCATCCAGGTGTGGGGGGAGGCCTCCAACGTCCAGGATCTCTGCACTAGGCACAGGAAAGTAGCCGTCTAGGGCAGGATAGCTGCCAACCTGGCAACCAAAGGCCACATGTGAACCCAGGAGCAGGTTTGCGTGAAAATCAAGGTGGTCCAGTGAGACCCCCGACCCTGAGCTAAGAACATAAGAACGGCCGTACTGGGTCAGACCAAAGGTCCATCTAGCCCAGTAGCACGTCTGCCGACAGACGACAC